GTTGATCTCCGGCGTCGAAGACCTCTCGCCGGATTCGCACTTTTGCTTCTAACGCCCCCGGGCGCCATCAGGACGAACGCTCCCCTTCGGTGACGTGCGATCTGCGCGACTTCACGCCGATACAGGTCCCGGACGAAATGCCCTCCACCGTCGTCGGGACACCCGAACGGTATATTACCGTTCTAACCGATTCAAACCGGCTTTCACCGGCCGCCGGGCCGGGACGACGAATCGCCTTAATTCCACCGGTTTCTGATACTCGGCCAATCCGTTTTCGCGATCAGGGTTCGCGTCGAGCGGATTTAATCCGCCGCGCTGTGAGAGGCGAGATAAATCGCCGGGCATCTTTGTTGCACCCTCTGATCGTATATCGTGGCCGAACCAGGGACTGAGAAAAATGTTGCGAATAAGAGACACGAGGGTTTGCGAGATTAGGACGTGGTTGGCGAAAAAGAAGATCGCTTTCTACATGAATCCTTGCGACTTATAGAGAAGCGTCGGCCGATTCGCAGATTCGAGAGAAATCGTCTTGGCGACGCTTTATTCTCTACAAGTCTCTATCATCTAGCATCTTATAAGATGTACATTTTCCGATTTTTCTATTTTAACTCTTACCACATTTCTTCGTTCGCGCAAGCAATAGTGTCTCTGAAAGTTACGTATTTTTTCTCGGAAAAACTTTGTGCAACACGGAGGATGCCGATGAATGTTAGTGAAAATTATCCCGTGTAATCTCTCTCTCTCTCTCTCTCTCTCTCTTTCATTCATTCTTTTTTCCCGGCAAATCGATTTACATCTCATTTGCCGCGACGATACCATCGACGGTCTTCGACTTACTTATCGCGCGCCTTGCACTTCGGCGACCTTGTCGCCGTGCAAGAGTATTCGTGCGCGCAGCGCACCGACACCTCGACGAGCAACGGGAGCTCACGGGAACGTCACGTTGATTATTTTGACGTGCGATTATAACGAAGCGTGTCTATCTTCGCGTCGCGTCATTTTCACCGCTAGTGACGCAACGGGCGAGACGCGCGCTTCGCCGTTTCGCACGCGAGTTTCGAACGAGCCGGCCGAAGGTGGTGTTCCGTACAATCCTCGTTAAATTCCCCGCAACGCGCGTGTCGATGTCGCAGTGCGGGGGAAAAATGCTCGCTCAGCTTCGATTGCTTCATCGATCTCCTCTTTTTTACGGACGTAACGGCCCACCGGCTGCGAGATATTTCTTTTTTCCCCCCTCGACGCGTTCGGTTCCGGTCGCTCGGACATTTCAGCTATTTGCACAACGCGCGATTTTTCCGTCCGCGGGCATTCGATCGACGCGGCCCTTAGGCGCGGCACGCTTCTCACCCGTGGAAAAGTCGACTGCGGCGAGATTATCGAGGAACGCAATGGTGGCAATTGTTTTTTTATCGCGCGGGAGATACTCAGCGATTGCTCCGGGAACCGCGCTCAATAAAGATCCGTCGGGCACGTACGAACGAGGTAAAGTCGGCTGCGTTCTGTTATCGGCGTGATAATGCTGCTTTTCCAACGCGCGGCCGTAAAGGAATGGAAATTTCATTCGCCCGGCCTCCAGATTTCGGTGCGTTCTTAGATGTTGCGAGTCACGCGACTGTGAAATGGGAAAGAGGCAAACTTGAAAGTACGAATGAAACATTATGCGATTTTTAATAATAATAATGATCTTTATTAATGGGAGTATCCTTTCTGGAGCTGCACGCACGAATACTCTTGCACAGTATATATAATTAAGAGGTAAATAGACAAGAAAAGAAAGAGTTACTGTTATCCTTTTTCTCTCCCATTTTACGTCGATATAAATGTTATGTACAATAAATGTTGCGCAATTGAATGTAACGTAAATATTAAATCACAAGAGTCGCGAAATACAAATAAACGAGAGAGAGGGAAAGAGGGAGAAGGAGAGAGAGAGAGGAGGTAGTCCTCGCGATTCGACGAGCCGCTCTCCCGGCGACAAGCGCTCGCACGTATCCGCCTTCTTCGTCTCTTCGTCTCTTCGTCTTTGTTTTATTTGTACTTTCTACGCTCGAATCCTGTCACCCTGCCGAGATTTGCGGAGTTCAAAACACAGCCGTAGATCAAGCGGAGCCGCAAGCTGCGCGCGAGTCGCAATTAATACGGGCATATAGATCTCTCTATTTGATTTCGCTCGCAGTGCCTCAGCGGGGACGCTTATTTATCTCGCGAACAGCGGTTCGCGAGTGTGTGTGTTTGTGTAAATGTAGACCACAACTATTCGTTATAATTTTCGTGAGCTTAGATTTCTACGACGATACAAATGTTCGTACGGTCGGGCCCCATTTTTCTCGGTCCCGTTCCCCCTCTTTCTCTTCACTTTTACGCCTCCACCGTGAAGAACGGCGCGCGCAATTACCCGTTCTTTCTCGTTTCTAGTGAAAGATCGTCCGTCACTCGCCGGGCTCGCGGCAATCCCCTCGCAATTAGCATACGCGCCTGGCGGCTGATTTAATATTTTTGTATCCACTCACGCGTATATATTCACACGTACGAGGCGTCCGCCCCTCGCTGCAGACCCGCTCTGAGGATTACGCAGCCTTGCCGTTCTCTCGAAAGGTTGCCGTTTGTCACACCGTATATTCACGTACGCGCTCGCAGACGCCGGACGCGATTTTTGTTTGCGCAGCGGTGTCTCCGAGAAAGTCGTAAATACGGAAAAATAGAATCCGACGGCGCATCTCGTAGAGCATCGCAATTATATTTAATATAGTACGCTATATATGCATACGGCCGTATGCTGGGAGTAACGTAGTGAAGTTACGAGAAAATTAGCGACGGAAATAACGGACGTGTTGATTATGGCACACGTTGCCAAATTCCGCGCGTCTCTAAATTTGTACATTGTGAGGGGAAAAATGTCTAAAAACTAAAAAATATTTCAGTCGCTCTTAACAACATATTTATTTACTTCCAATATATATATATTTATATTGAGAAAAAATGTTTTAAATAAGAAAATATACACTTTCTTAAATCTATAGTTTTGCCTGAAAATAATCGATTATTCTATTTAAATTAAAGAATTTAGATTTAAATAAATATGTTATTTTCCCTCTTAGCGTGTATACTAAGTATTTCGTCTTTGGGAGAGAGAGAGAGAGGGAGAGAGACACGTGTTAGTTGACATTGTTATACGATTATTTAATTGCGATGAAACGCTGAAAAAAGATGGAGGAGAGGTCGTGGTTGAAAATAAATTTTAATTACGACGAAAGGAATTATTGTATTTAATAACTACATTTAATAATAGTATATTCAGGGAGTGGTTACGGCTGCATAAATTTCAGATACGCGCGGGATGCACAGAAGCGGCGATCTGATAAAGAAACAGCACAGGAAGCGATGTGTGTGCGCAATCGTAATATCTCCGCGAAGGGAATAACGTGTGTACGGCAGGCGCCGTGCATGGAGTCGTGCATTGATGTGTACGTGCATCCACGTGCACACACGAACGGCTTGACGCAACCTAAGTGTCTTATTCGCGTCGAAAACGGTGACGAAACTCTCATTTAACGTGGACGTTCGTTAATTACGGACGTAAGAATGTTTTTATTAAGCGCCTCCAGCGCGGGTTGCGGGAATATTGATAATTGATATGTAAGAAAGCACTCAATGATTTTTACCTATTAATTGAAGAAAAAATATTAAAGAAGAGGAAGGATGAACAGTTTTACATTTGATGAATAACTGCACACATGTGTATTTTTGATCGTGCGTTAATAAAATTCACCGCATTACCAGTCGTCAATTATTGCGCAAATATCGTCGATTAATCCACCATTAATCGCCGTCTACAAAACGTTGCAATTTACTCTTTAACTGGTTGCACTTTTCATAAAAACATTATTGATGTATAAGTTGTTTCACAACATTAGCTCTAAACTTCGATGTGTTTCCCGGCGTATGGTTGCGAATGGTTATATTGCTTAATGGAATTTATCATGATTTTCGAATCTTCAACTTTGAATATATTCATATAATTAATTATTATTTTATTAATTCATTATTATTTTTTAGGTACATAGAGAAAAAGATTTCTTTCGATTTAGCATTCGTATTTGTTCGACTTGAGTTTGTTTAATATAAACAACTTAATTTAATAGTGAATATATAATTTTGTTTGAAAAGGTTGTCATTTTATTAGAGTAAATCATGTTGTTTGAAAAAGAATATTATTCGGAGGAAATATTTCGTTCTCAAAAAAATTTTATTTCATTATATATTAATTAAATATTAATAATAATAATATTAAATATTGAATTCCACTGAAAGAAAAAAGAAATTTTTTAATATTTTTCTAATACATTGTTACTTCTTTCAAGTAATTTATTGCTTGTAACAACTATTGTAACGTTTGGTTGCAAATATAAAGAAAATATGTTATTTCATTTAAAGAGATATTTATATTGTTTGAGAAACCAAATAATGTTCTTTGTTTAATTAACATTTATTTGTTGCTTTATTCAAAAAGATAAATTTGTTTCGGTTAAAGAAATTTTATTAAATCCAAAGAAATCTTTTCTCTGTGTAATAAATTAGCGATAATCACACAGAAAAAAAAATTAGTATTAATTCAAGACTATTCATTCTCATATATGAGTAATATGAAGATAAAACTTGTTTACATGAAGAAATTCTACACAGTTCCTGATACAACTGATACAATTCTTAGTTTGAAGATATCGTTCTTTCTATCCGATATTTTTTCCTCTCAATTCGCAAAAATTATTCTCGAATAACAAGAACATGATATTTTTAATTTAAATTTTTAAACTATGTAGAACTTCTTCATGCATGTATAAGAGCAATTTCTATCTTCAAGTAAGATTATATATCCTCGTTTATTTATCAGTATACTAATTTTGAATCGATACCATTTTTGTTCCATGCACATGCGAGCAGCCAATCGCGATCGGTTCAACAACACGTGAATTAACAAACGTTTTTACTTGTGTGTTCAGGTAGCCGACACGTAAAATGGTTGCTTCACAAAACGACGGTGGCAGAAGCATGGGAGGCGGCGGCGGAGGCGGCGGCGGCGGCGGCGACGACACGGTTTACACGGTGACCGTGAGCGGGGTCGGTTATAGAAATGAGGGTTACAAGGACGACGGCACCGACGGCATACCGCCGGAGCCGCAGAAGCCGCCGCAGCTGCCGGCCGCGGACGACGACACGCAGTCGCGGAAGTTCAAGCTGTCGCGCGGCGAAAAGTGGCGCATCCTGAAGAACATCGGCACCGTGTCAATTGCCTTCATGGTGCAGTTCACCGCGTTCCAGGGCACGGCGAATCTGCAGTCGTCGATCAATGCCAGCGACGGCCTCGGTACAGTCTCGCTTTCGGCGATCTACGCCGCCCTGGTGCTCTCTTGCATCTTCGTGCCGACTTTCCTCATCAAGAGGCTCACCGTCAAGTGGACCCTCTGCCTGTCCATGCTGTGCTACGCGCCGTACATCGGCTCCCAATTCTATCCCAAGTTCTACACCCTGGTGCCGGCCGGCGTTCTCCTCGGTCTCGGCGCCGCGCCCATGTGGGCCGCCAAGGCCACGTATCTCACGCAGGTCGGCGGCGTCTACGCCAAGATCACCGACCAGCCGATCGACGCCATCGTCGTGCGGTTCTTCGGCTTCTTCTTCCTGGCGTGGCAGACGGCCGAGCTCTGGGGCAACCTTATCTCCTCGCTCGGTAAGTGCACAACTTCTCAAAGTTCTGACACATCCTCGCCCACCTTCTTGTCGTAATATCTTGAAAATAGGACAAAAGATTATGTATCGAGCCTCGATGACGCGGGTATAATAATGAACGAAACTTGTCAAGTGGTAAAGATAAGCATATGGACGTGGAATGGCGATGCATGCGCGGAAATTAAATTAGCCTTGAATCAGAAATAAATGTTCTCACGTATAAGCAAGAATATTATAATCTTCTTAGAAGATATTCTGCTCCTTTAGTCTTGAAGCGAGTTCAAGTAATACTTCTTGCATCGGTATAAATTCAATCGAATCGAGACTAAAAGTCTCCTGAGAAAATTATGATATTTTTGTTTATGTATGGGAATATATATTCTTGATTTATGACTAATTTTTTTCCACGTGCTATTAACACTTTCGCAGCCGTTGATTCTTTCACTTTTCCAAAACTGATAGCCGTGTATAACGAAATGAAATCTGTAGCTGGTTGCCGCAGAGTTCTGTCGTTAAAATAAAAATAACAATTAAAAAGACTTGCTTTAAGATATCATGTTTATAACTATTTGTTATTTGCAGTTATACATATATAAAGGTAAAATTAATTATACATTTTTGCATAAATATATAAATTAATATTTCTTTTTTATATGATAATTTTGAAAACCTTTATCTCGTAAAGGAACTCTGCAATATTTACATATGTAAACAAATTTATTGGATTTTCAGGTTAAAATTCATTTCGACTCTATTAAAATTCACTTTGATTAATTTGAATTTAAAATATAAAAAAACGTGCTACTACATCAGCGGCAACCAGTTGCAGATTTTAAAAAGACGTAGTAGCACGTCAACAGCGACCAATTACAGTTTATGAAGAGAGGTACTACGTCGAAGCTGCGAATATATTAAGATTCTTCGATTGTCTTGATTAGAGTCAATCTTTTAGTCGTGTGTTTGCGCGCACATAATTAATAGTTGTTACAAGGCCCAATTATATTATTGACGCTTCGCGATGAGTGAATTCCCGCGGATGAAAATATCGAATGTTCATTCGTCGAAACCAGCAATAATTGATTCATTTTTACGTGCCTCGACGTACCTTGACGTGCCTTGACACGTCATACTGAACCAGTGTCCGCGCGCGCACACGCTTTCGCTAAAGCAGTTCTCCTTGTTGTCACTCGCGAGTAATAGAGATATTCTAAACATTTCAATAACATGCATCTTAATACTATCGTCGTCTGTTTTTCACGCTCAGTTGACAGTGGTTACAATATATTTGTTAATTACCGCGCAAACACGTCCCATGAAATGTGTGTGCACAATTGTGCTCGTATCATTTGGCTTATCAGCTTAGATTACGCACATCCAATAAATGGCTCTCGCGGCCAAATGTGAATCGCTGCTATAATTACAAAGTAGAATATCACAGGCGCCTTATTTAACATTGAATTCGCCGGAATTTCGGACAATTAAACTACACGTTTCTCACATTGTAAAAAAATAACATTTCAAACGACTTTGGAATTTCGTACGTGAAAATGTAAATTCTGTCGTAACCCTTCCTCCGGATTCTCCAGGACAATAGCCGACTAAAATATGAGAAGTAAAAGTACCTTAGGATACCTTAAGAGAAAAGGTGGAAAATATCTTCCCCGCCACACACAAGTCGATCATTTCCTCGAGTTTCGTGCGCCGGTACGCGACACGTGTGCGACTACTAGTAGAAACAGACGTTACGGTCGGCCGACGGTCGGGTCGAACGCTCGATCTTTCCACTGGCGCGCGTTTCCATCCTCGCACCTTCGCACACCTTGCGCGCGCATAGTGTGCGAGGGACAACGGCAGTCGGTGAGGGACTCGCTCGAGCGAGAGAGGCCGTGAAAGAGAGAGGGACGGAGGGGGAGCAGCGTCTCGCAGTCGCGGGAAGAAACGAGATTTATCCGGTATAAACCCGCGGTGGTCGGTTTCCGTACTACCTCGTACGCATTCCCCGATACCACCGCGTGCGCCTCCGCGCGCGTTCCACGAGATATCATTGTACGCCGGTCCGTGTTATTCGTGTGTGCGAAGAAACGTTTCTTCGATTTCTTCGCCCGTTGAACCGCGCCTCGAATGTATTCGAACTGACGCCATTTCGGACGGGTCCCGTGAGATCCGTGGAAACGCGGTCTCTAGTCGATTCGATTGTTGCGACGACGATGCGTAGCTCGAGTTGTATTCGCACGTCCGTACTCGAAATTAATTTCAAATTAAGGCTGGGAACCATTGATTTCAAGCGAGGTCGATTGTTTCGAGACGCGAAATTATGACGCGCGCGTTCACTCGGGACTTTTCGTTTCACTTCCTCTCTTCCCACACGTAGACGCTTGGGTGTCGCGAATTTATGAAATCTAGAATTGCATCACGCTGTGCGTACGAAAATGTCGCCCGGTTCGCGCATTAATAAACGGCCTAGATAGATAATGAGTCGAGGATAAAGCGTTATATAAAATATAGCACTCGATATTGAACGACGCTGATGTTTGTTAAATATATTTTTAATACAACAACAGCAGCGGATTTTTTCGTACTTGCGGAAGTATAACACCAGACGAGTACGGATGATGCGATGTGCGGAGATCGGCCGTTTCGTTAAGTCATTGCGCGTGAGTTGAGAAAAATCGGTGTCATTGGCGCCAGGTAATATTCGCAAATACGCGACAAAGGTCAAGATTGTTTTGAGTCCTTGTCGAGGTCAACACGTTGTACGCAATATTATAACGATGAATATGTCGGCACGAAGGCTACGAACAGGTAGAACAGAATATTTCCTGGAAATCGGCAAGAGATCACAGTGCGGAATGATTCGGTAACACTTTTACGTGCAGGCGTGAATTTTTTCCGCGTTATGACATCGATTATAGCAGAATGGTTGGTATGGCGTGCATCGATCGCACTTATATAACGAGGTGAATTATCGCACAAGATCCGGTTTATTTTCTCCCGCGAGTTACGCGCGAATTAACATTTTAATCATTTTAATTACACAGAAAATTATGATAAATTATAATTATATACCGCGTCCCTGAACCCGCGATCTTAATTTCAACGCTCTTCGATGTGTCGGGGACTTAATTTTTCTTGCAGAAAAAAATCCTAAGGAAGGTCATCACTTGCAATCCTTTAATTTTAAATATCTCGATATTAAGCGCCCGCGATCTGGTTATATCTTAATTGCATCCTAAAACTCAATTTGTGGAATACTCCTTATTCTTTACTCTTTAAAGCCCACACGTTGCTCCCATTGAGGTAAAACACAATTTATAAGATCGTCTTAAAGGACGTTTTTAGTGAACAATTTTTTGGCCCGAATAAAATTGATCGTGGAAAAGTACGATTTTCCAAATATATATTACGTATATAATTACGTACATTGGGCGTTTGAGGTATAAAAATAAGAAAGTATTCAAATTGTTTTATTTAAAAAATAGTTATTTTCCGCTGGTTTATAACATGGTCGAAGAACAACGGGCAGAAAAACATCGGGAAAAAATTTTCATGAATAAAATATACTTATATATTTTCATAAATAATTTTATATGAATCCGTGCATCGATTTCAAGACGCGGAGCAATTTTGCTCTACATTGCACATATTGGTTTTCAGCTGGAAAAACATTTCACTAGTTAAAATGAAGAATATAGCTTTATTTGGGATGGATTGATAATATCATATCGACGGAAGCATTATTTTGCCGACAGACGAAATTTGGGGAAGGCCCAAATTAATGTACATTATTATGTACACCGGGCCTTAAAGAGTTAACCGTTCTCCTTGAGTCTGTTAACAGGAAACGAAACGAGCAAGAAACCGCTAAAAGATCCGTCATTAAAGGTAATCTCAGCAATCATGCATGCACGTGCGAAACGACATTTTTATGTGGACGTTGGCACGCTTATGTACGTTCCGCGCTTTCCACTCTCCGTTAACACGTGCTCGGTTACGGACACTCTCTATTACACGATCATTTTTCCACCGTCGAAAATATAGACATCCATCATCGCTCTTCGTTAAGAGACTCCTCGTGGCCTTTCGTAGCTTCGCTAAAACAACCGGTTCGCGATATCTTCCTTGCGTTTTTCCGTCGATCGCGACACGCATTACTCCGTCGATCGCGTGACTCGGCTGCGAACAATTTCCGTGCGAACAATCCTCGTGCGTGCTCGCACGACGGCAGAAGCCGTCGGGCGCCGTTAAGAAGCGGACTTTTCCGACAATCGAAGACGATAAGTAGGGAAGATCGTAAACGCGGCATAATATTATTAGCGCCGGTACGGTGAAAGTTCTCGCCGGCTTGGCGGCGTGTGCGTAGCGAATTAGCCGGCGTAAATTCCAGAATAGCGATAAGTTTCCTTATAGAATTGCCGATTAGTTCCCGTCTTGAAATTATCTCGTAAAAACAACACCGTACGAAATTTCGAATGAGGCACCTCAGGAAACGCATTAGGTTGGCCGGGAATCGCGCGCGGCAGTAGTTCCGGTCGACGACTTAGCCGGCGTGAAGCGCACCCGGCCGATCGATTTTTCGCAGCGACGCGCAACACACGTCGTGGTCGTTCGAGATTTTTTCTATAATAAGAATCTGATCACCGTCGCTGTGACCGTCGTAAATTTCGTAGGTGGCAAATCTTTGCTTGCATCGTCACTGTTTGGTTAAAATTACCGGAATTAATTAATGTGAAAATTATCGGAAGTTCACAGCCATAATACGGGAAACATCCAGATTATTATTAAAATGAGCAAACCAAAATAAATTAAAAATTAATTACAATATAAACCATACAAACTCACTTTTCTCCTTTAATACTCTTCGTAAATTTCGTAGGTGGCAAATCTTTGCTTGTATCGTCACTCAACTGATAACTTTCGTTGCTTTACAGCAAGAGACACGAATCGACGCAAGTCTAATTAGATCATTTGTTATAATCATCATCCTTATTTTGCATTTGGCAAAGAGAAGGATAATATAACTTAGACTTGTGTTGACTTTTATTATTTGCTAGAAAGCAGCGAAGTCTTTGACATCATCCCAACCGGAAATTGACTCAAACATGGCAAAGCCAATCAAAAATCAGACATACGGTGTCTAGATTCTTATTATAGAAATTCTAATCGTCGTGGACACGTCGTACAATATCAAATTCCTTGACAAGTTCGAAGAGCTTTTTCCTCTCGTCGACCTTCACGCCTGTTACGTATGCGGTAATAACGACGCGTGTTTCCAGCGGATCGTTGTATTTCGGGGCGCGTAGCGCGAGTCCTAGTCGACGTACCCGATTTAACTCGGCACGTCGAATACCAATGAGATCCTTCGAGAAGATTCCGCGCAAACGAGCACATTCGAACGCGCCTCGTGCGCTTCCTCATTGGCTCGAACGTACAGCTGCGTGGGCAGCGTTTGCACAGCTGCGGGGGAATTTCTTTCTCGCGATTATTTGCGCTTCGCGCTGCACCTCGCCGAGCGGTTCAGTGATTTCCGCCTGTCTATGTGTCGTCAATTTTTCCGTCGACCCGATTCACTGTCACGGACGAAACAACTCGAATATTTCTGGCATGGTGCACAATATATATATACGGATATCCGAAATAATGCGTTAACGGAACATCAGTTTACATCGGGTTAATTAGCATCTAAAAATTAGCAGCTAAAGGCCCCCGACCCAACGAAATATTCTGGTTATCGAAATTATGCCAGCACTCTTCGTAAGTTTCATATTCAAGATTCATATTTTCATATATAAGCAAGAATATATAATCTCATACGAAGATAAAACTTGTTTACATGAAGAGATTACATATAATTCCACTAGAGATATCATATTCTTGTTATTTAAGAATAATTTTCACGAACTGAGGGGAAAAAAATATTGGATGGAATAAATATTTTAAATCTAAAAATTGCATCCGTTCGAAAATATCGTCCTTTTTACCCGATACTTTTTCTTTTCAATTTGTAAAAATTATTCTCGAATAACAAGAATATGGTTTTTTTAGTGGAACTATAAAGTATTTTTTCACGTATATAAGAGCGAGTTTCATTTTCATATAAAATTATACGTTTTTGCTTATATATAAAAATGTGAATATTGAATCGATATTAATTTTTTTTCTCCGGGCGTTGTCAAAGAACACGTTGACGAAAACGAATACATATCGTGTCTTTCAGCAGTAACGGGTCGTTATTTATATCTTATAAAGGTCTTTCGATTTCACGCGCGTCGCAAGGGAGAACACATCAATTACGATGCATCTCTGTTGAAGTGCAACCGTGACCTCGATGTCCGATACTGCCTCCATTGGGACGAGTCGACATGCATGATCGATTTTTCGAACGAGAAAAAGTTCAGAATGATGGGTGTACGCGGAACTTTATCCGAATGATAATTCGCAATAGCTTAAATCGTTCTACGTGCAAAAAAAGAAATAAAAGTAAACGTACGTACTATTGAAGTAATTGCTTGCAAAGTATTGTGACTTTGATGTTGGCGCAGGTGATTAATTCATCTGTCGAGAACGACGGAACGACTTTCATGATTGAATTAACGGTTACTTTATAAAGACAATATTTCCTATTACACACTGCGTTCCTCGTGAGTGATGTTTCCCTGTCGCACGAGAGTGGTATCACTCACTGTGTATATTCGAATTATGGAATTCGCGAGGAATCGAATACGTGGGGCGATTAGGGAAGAGCCTCGTCAGCTAGGTGAAATTCGCTCATGAAATACTGATTTACGAGGAGTACGAGCTCGCTCACGCGCGTGCGTTCTCTTCCTCGTGTCCTGACTCTCGAGCAACGTTCAGCAACGAAGAGTTAATACGTTTCCGGTACGGCGTAATAGGTCAACCTCTCGACTTCTCGCTCGCACATCTTCACCACTTGCGATTCTTCGCTCATAATTTGCTCGCGCACGGCGAACTGATGTAATCGCCGTGATGATAAATCGTTACTCGTGAGTTGTTATTATAATTTATTATGTTATTATTAATGTAAATTTTTTTTCGCGCGTGTTTTTCATGTTATTTGCTCGTTCAGGCACGTGACTTCATTTGTATTTTCACTTCGTGAAACAGATAGTGCTCGCTATTTATATCAAACTCCTGATATATACGTTCCTGGCTGTTAATTAAAATGAAATTAAAAATATTATAAACATTTTATTCAGTCTTCCGATTTGACCAGTTACATTTTTGGAAAAAAAAAAACAAGTCGTAGCTGCTGAATTAAGTGTATCTTTAAGTAAGAGATGTCGTAATATTCCTTGATAATCGATTTTTTTTTTAGAAAAATAATATCAACGCACTTAAAATGTCGCTAATAAACATCAGAGAGGAATAATGTTGTTTTGCCATGGAGAGCCATTTGCATAATTTAGGCTCATCTTTTTTTTTTTTTTTTTAAACTGCAGCTTCAGAACAAAACAGATCTCGGCAGATTCGAATTTTTCTCCAATGAAGATGTTTACTGTACAGGAGTGCGATGTCTGATGGAGGCGCCTTCTTGCGTCAGACATCCTATAATCGAGACGTGGTATCAGTTCTAGACTAGATATCCCGCAAGTGGTAAACCGTAGAACAAAGCTTGTGTGTGACTCCTTTCGCGGATATTCACTTTCGAAGAAACGTCAAAAGTCATCTGCCATTAAACAGAGACAGAACGGCGGGACTTAGCGGATCCCCGTTAAATGAGCGAAAAGAAAAGCCGGGTGTAAATTCGACGAAGTTCGACAGTGAAAGCGCAAATATCCGTACGCTACTGAGAGAGATCACTTTCAAATTGTTGCAGTATTGAGCGACGGCGGCCACGGCGGCGGCGGTGGCGGCAGCAGCAGCAACAGCACGGGCAGCTGGGACAAGATCAAGCTGTGCGGCGCTGATTTCTGCATCCTCGGCAACGGGGGTCACGAGAACCTAGAACGGCCGCCGGAGTCTGAGATCTACGAGATCTCTGCGATCTACCTCACCTGCATCATCGTCGCGGTGATCATCGTCGCGCTGTTCGTCGATCCGCTCTCCAGGTGGGTGCCAGATAGCCGGGACGAAAGTTGTCTCTGAAAATATTAATCGATCGACAGCTTCTTTTTTATTCCCCGTCCTTTTTTTCTTCCTTTTCTTTTTTTGTCGCGCGTCGGCCGACTTAATGCCGTCGTCGTCGCCAACGTCGTAATATCTCGCGACGGAAATTCCGCCACGGAATCGCGCGCCAGCCCGGCAAGGACAGTAGAGAGTAGCAAAAGCCTGGCGAACCTGGTTGCCTACTTTTTTTCGGCATGACGCCAGTAAATTGAGATAACGCGTCGTATGTTAATAGGCCGGATTTACATATTCATACACACGCAAGCCGGAGATACCGCCGAATCGATTCGCTCGCCAATATCGTAACTCTTCGAAGCGATATTGGAGCACCGGTGTTCCGTGTATCGCCTCGAGGAGTTATAATCCCACTGTTTGTTTATGATGAACGTTAGAGACCGCTTGGGGGAATCACCGTCCATCCGCTTGCTAGATAGCAATGAAACTGCGCAAATTTTAGACGCAATCTCTTTCTCATTCCTCGAATTACCGATTCCGGTACCACACGGTACCGACACGGTGAGAAAAAATTACCGATAGCTATTAAAAGTCATAAATATGCATGGAGCAAACGAAAAAGTGGAATTAAGGAAGCAGCTCTTGAATTTCGAAACGACGGTTTCGCTTGTCAAAAATGTAAATTTAGCCTGAGTAGAATTATTTAACGTTATAAATAAAGATTGGGAGAGAATTTTGACGCCTTCAGCTGCAAAAAAGTGGAAATACATAATGAGATTTCAGCTTTATTGGAAGTTTGCTGCAAAAATTATCAGAATCTTAATTAGTAAATTATTTCGGAAAGTTGCAAGTTATTACGAGAGAAATGATAGCCTCTAATTATATTTTTGCTGGTTATGAATTCAGACAAATCGTCGAGAAATATATATTCTTTCGACTTGACTTTTCAAGGTTTATTACACGGAAAAATAATTAATATCAATTTAAGACCTATATTCTCACATATAAGCAAAAATATATAATGTTGTATGAAGATAAAACTTGCCTACTAAGGAAACTCTATATAGTTCCATTAAAAAATATCGTATTCAAATTATTCAAAAATAATCTTTATGAATTAAGAGGAAGAAATATTGAATGGAAAGAACGATATCTTGAAACCAGTACAATTCTTAATTTGAAAATATCGTTCTTTTCATCCAATATTTTTTCCTCTCAATTTAGGAAAAGGAAATTATTCTTGAATAATAAGAATATATATGATATTTTTCATCTTTTTTCACGTATAAGAGCGATTTTTATCTTCATATTATAAGATTGCTTATACATGAGAATACATGATACCTAAATTGATATTGATTCTTTCCCGTGTAATTTTTTTCTTTTTAAAGTATCGCGTGATATCTAAGGTTTCGCGCGACGCTTTCGCTCTTCGAGCGCTCGTTCGTTGAAGCTGTTTTGGTCGGGCTTCAATTTGCGTGCGCGAGCAAACGCGAAGCATCAGACGAATTAGTAAGTGGCTTCCTCGGCGCTCTCCCACGACGTTGAGACAAACACTTTGTCCCATCAGTGTTTACCACGGCGTCGATCTACGCGAGTGGGATGCGAAACTCGGTCCGCATCGCAAAGAAACTTGTAATTGCACGCCGGGCTAACAATAAAGCCTAATTGCAAAGGTGGAGCGTACCTGCAATTATCCACCGCATGAAAAGTGACACGCGCGGGATGTAACACAGAGGCCTCTCCCGTTCGTACCAGGCCGCGTTATCGCCGCTCACCATCGCTGAAAATGATATATTTTATCCGCGATTTCGCGCACTATGAATTGCGTAGCTCAAACCTGTCATCGTGCTCGCAGTCGCCTTACGGATATACGGCAACGTCGAACGATCGCGCCTTGTGTTTTCGAAATAGAGCGAAGGTCTCTATCGCTTTCGACTTGATAAGCGCGCAGTCGGTTGTTTTGGTGCCGTGTCGTTGACCCTCCGCGAGAATATTCCCCGTCGAGAGGTGAAAGAAGAAAGACCGTTTTGCGCGTGAGAATATCGCGGTAAATGAATCGGTCGTTTTCGTTTCGAGGGAAAGAGAGCACAGTGTGTGATAAGAACAAAAGTCTCTTCCGAAGTCGGTGAAAGCTCACGTTTATCGTTGGATGTCTTTTTCTCATCGAAGATCACCGCCACCAGAAGTTTCATGCACTTTTCGAGCAGTTACTGGACAGTTCATTGACTTCTCTTCAGTAACTGAGAAGTGAAACTATTTTGGCTCCCAATCGAGATGTAACGCTTTTCGTGTAGTTATTGCGCGAAAGATGCGCGAATCCATTTACCGAAGGAAAATAGAACGATAAATGGACAACAAACTATTCAATTGATTAATAAGCAAATTCGTTGAATTGAAATGCGTTTTATCGTAGTAAAAATATCCCTGAATAAAACTCTATCAAATTCTTGCCCATTTCTTACGCAGTATTGTTTTGCAACTAATGAGACTGCATCATTATTATGCAATGATTATTAATTAATATTGGACGGTAACTAAATGGGTGTCTAGGAAAACTGCATACATTTCTATCAGAGATTGCATCAGCCATGACGTATTTTTTCAAAATTATAACACAATACTATTCCAGGACGAAAGACCGAGTCGGTTTTTCCAACGTTATGCGTAAAAGTTGACTCATATCCTTCCCGCTCAGGTACTTTGATTACAGTCGCGTTAGTCGCGCGATTGCACGTTGCCGCCGACCATCATCGAGCTGTTCATTTCACAAAGTCATTCATCACCGAATGTTAGCTTTCGAAGACGACGAACGATCAAATTAAAGTTGTTTTCACGATGAGTCGCCGGCGATTTCCGTTCGCGAGTGTGTTCCGTCGGCGATTTCCGGTTGTCTCGTCGGCGAGGACTCGTCGACGCGGTGCGCGAAAATCGAGAGCCAGAAGATACTCGACCACGGCGGTTCTACGATATTACGAAACATACAGTTTGATAGACGTGATCAGCGGAATGTCAACCTGCGCCCCGCCTCTCCTCCGCCATTTCGGGATCTACCTGTAACCATTGCTCTGCTTATGATTGCGAAATAACGTACATCCGACAGGATGCGGCGATTGCGTAACGCCGCTACACGTAGCGTGAACCGTACTTATTAAAAGTCGGTAAGTTTCTGGAGGATTACGGTTGCGTCAACGTCGAGCGCGCGTATCCTTCGGCGCACAGCAGCGCACCAGAGACTAGTTCGTGCTGGAAAAATCCCCGTATTTTTTCTTTCACATCGCGCCGAGAGATAATTATCCCGAGACCTACTGTTTAATGCGAGTTTTCCGCATCACTTGTTTATCCATCAGGACGGCGCAAAAAATGCCATCGATTAGCATAAAAAATTGATAAAGCGATCACTTCCGAGTAAATTCTGATAATAATATTATCAGTACGCTTGTTTCTCGCGGGATAAAAATAATTGTGATAAATATTGATAAAAGGAAAGGATTGGCACGTGCAAGGAGCACGGACATTAGCAAGGTGAGCAAGGACATTAGCATTGAATCGGTCTATCAAAACATTGATTTCAATGTGGATTTTATAAACATTTTCACGCGATGTTTTATAAATATTTTTCAACTATGTTACTTGATAATATAATATTCTTAAATATTAAAATAATGTAGATAATAAAATAAGAATAAAAATAAAATAGTGTAGAAATATTACTTTTAATATTTCGCCGGGTCACAAGTATCGTTCACAATAACGTTGTGTACAAATTTAAGAACTACATATTTGAAAACGTTACATGTTATAAAATATCATTGTAACAACGTTGTGTTAATACTTACCGCTGGTAAGCAAGAAATCTTACTGGCTTGTAATTGTAACGATTCTCTGCCGCTGATCTGATGAAATAACATGAAGTTGCGTTCGTATTTGTAATCAGCTATAGGCAACGTACGAGCAGTGTAAAATTTTTCGCCAATTCCATCCCAGCGTGGAGAAAATAATTTGACAACGAACGCGCGCGACACAATGTCTCGGTGCTTTATTGTTTAGTCCCACACACTCGGGGAGTCTTTTATAAAAATATATAACGTTGAGTAATGCCGGATGCGTCCCGCGATATTATTTTCGGAAGCGTCGGCATCGCCGATTCGTCGCGTCGTCCGGCGAGAGATCCTTTCCCCGCGTTGTTCATCATGCCGCGAAGAGATGGCCAAGGACGTGCGCGTCCTTCCGGAAGTAAGCAACTCTTGATGACACGTTAGCCGCCAAATTGTTATCTGGCCGATGATTAGGTCGCAATTTAATGTCGCAAAGTCTTGCAAAATGTCTGGCCGACGCGCTCGCTTGGTTGACGACGACGACGTCAAGGTGCGCGATCGACCATCCCGTTCGCCATTGACACGGCCGACCTTCCATCGACGAGATGACGAGATAGGCCGCTAATGTAAGACGTAACATTTTCAACGACGCTCTACCGTGCGAGGAACTAAACCGGAGGAGAGTAGAACCTTCTTTTTCCTCGCGGATAGGTCTCGTTTCCTGTCCGCACACTCGACCGACTCGCTTAATCGATCGTTTTTATTGCGTTGGAACACGCGTTCGCGCTTTTCTCTTCGCGCGACGTCAAGGCTTCGCGGCAACCCGGTAAATCAGTCGACGGGGACATCTCTCGATTCACGGAAGGAATAATAAGGTAGAGCGCCATTCCGCTTGCAATTAGTCCCGGCCGATAGATGCTATCGCGCCGGACTGATTCACGGGTGTTGTGGTTCCACATGTTCCACGGCTCGCGCGCGACAGATTCTCATTGTCTCTGTATGCGCAGAATCTTGCGGCTCACCATTGTTCGATTTAATTACCTCGCGGTTTCGACGAACGTAATTTGTTCCACTCGGACGGCGATCACGCTTATCGGGGGATCGTCTAGATCTTATCGTCTAAACCGCTGAACATTAACTGGCGATTTATCAATTAATAAATTGAGCCA